TCAGGCCACCTCACACTCTCTACTTTGGTTCAGTCATCTGCACAATGAGGATGTCTGATGAGGTGATTCCTAAGGTTCCTATTTCATCTAACAATGACTTATATCACACTCACTGGGCTAAGAGATCATGTCACCTATTGATAATTACTGCGCCTTATAAGATTTGCCACATAACCACTTGTGCTAAATGGTAGTGTAGATGATCAATGATGCAGTATTTTGCAAGGTCTTGGAGGTCAAGTTCTTTGGACTGGGCTGCTAGAATGCATTGGCAGAAGCAGCAGCCCTGTACAGAGTGAGATCTCACACAATCAAGGCAAAGCCCAAAGGATAAAACCATCGTGCTCCAGCAGGAAGATGCCTTACAGGCTTAAAGGGCACCTAAGTCAACACACTCATTTCTACACTGAACCCCAGAGAAACAAGGTGAGGTAGTTCATGGCTGGCTAGGCGTCCAGTTCCCTGACACTCATGCTAGGGCTTTCTGCACAGGCCCACAATATATCCAACTGGCTAACAGACCAGGCTCTAGAGTCAAGCTGTTTGGATTCAAATCTCTTCTCTGCCACTGTGGAGCTGTGAGATCGCGAATCAAGTTATCGAGCCTCTCTCTTCCCTTGTGAAGTTGGTATCATAATAGTACCTGCCCGCCTAAGGGTAAGTCAGGTAACATTAATTGCAACAGCATGGTGCCTGGAACAGAATGAGCCTTCAATAAATGGTGACAACGATGGTAGCTAACACTCACATAAAGTGCCTACTATGCACCAAGCTCTGCTCTAAGTACTTTACATTCATCATCTTATTTATTCTTCACAACTGTCCTACGAATAGGTAGACATTGCTATTACTTCCAGGAAAGTGCAGCACAGAGAGGTTGAGAAACTTTGAAGGTAAGTAGCAGAATGCAAATTTGTACCTAGAGCATCTGTCTCCAGAGCCTGAGCCCTTAACCATCACATGGTGGTGCAGGGTTGCTCATGAATTTCTGTTGCCAACGTTGAGTCTTCCCATAGGTCAGAGGCTGCTGTAAATGCTTAACATGAATTAACTCACCGACTCTTCACACCATCTGATGATGCAGAGATTATTTAACGTAAGTTTACCTTAATTGTTTACATTAATACAGCAAGGAGATAAAACAGAAGGTGGAAACAGTGGGGGGAGCGTGTCATCAGCTACAGGGCAGAGAAGTGAGATAAGGACTAAGCATTCAGAACTGCTGGGAAACTTCTCTAGGCAGAAAATGCCAGTGGATATACCTTGGATGGGAGAGATTTATGACTTGGTGGCAACAAAGATAATGAACCATTTTTCCAGCTTTAGAGTTTTGTTGAAGAGTCAGGTTATCGGAGCAATTAGGGGGAAGGGGTCTGGTGTAGTGGGAAAGGTTGGGCTTTCAAGTCAAGCACCAGTTCTTTCACTTCCTGTGTGTCTTTCAGCAAGTCACTCAACTTCTCTGAGCCTTGGGTTTTCTTTTACTAAAACGGAGATAATAATCCCCACTTTCTAGAGTTGTTTTGAAAATGAAATATTTTAAACGCCAAGCACAGTGAAGCACAATACAAACACTTAATAAATATTAATACCCTTGTACAGCACAGTGTATGATAAACTAGGGTAGCTCAACTTATGGGTGTTCACAGCCCAGGTAAACCACACACTCCCCCATGTAGGAAAAAAATGAGGAGAAATGTGTAACCTTGCAGTCCTGCCCAGTAACGAACACCAGGATATTCTGCCAAGAGCAACATCATTTTTCTTCTGATTTACATCTGGGACAAAGGAAACTTGGTCAGATGTTCGTCCAGACTGTTATAAAGGAAGGACTCCTCCAGCATCTCTCCTTAGGGGTGGCACAGAAAGCAGGCCTGACAGCACAGTAAATTCTGGAATCCAATCTTGGATAAATTGCCAAGTCCTCAGAACCACTTTCAGATGACATCATTTTCTTGGTTCGTTATTACTCATTACTCAGAGGGTTTGATTATAGTGTGAGCTTCCCCGAATCCCAAATTATTGAATATTCCAGGTGTACAAAATCATCACTCTTTCCTATTGGCAATATTTTAAGTCCCTGCATAAAAGGCTTAACTGCCGCCTCTCCGATTTCCTTTGCTCTTTCACCCCCACATTCTGCAATATAACACTGGTGAGTATCTCATTCATTTTCCAGATCTTCACTGTCAGTAAACTATTATTTGTGGAGTAGAATTATAATTCTAAAAGAATATGTTTTAGACTGTGGTTGATGGAAAAAAATGTGCTGTGAACTTTCAGGGAAAGACCGATTTTCTGACACTTCAGCTCTATGTGCTCAAATGCATCACTGTTATAAAGCACCAATTATGGCTAATAATGGCATTATTCTTCCCTCAGTACGTACTTGGTTTGGTAAAGCTTTATGAACTCTCAATTTCGGCAATCAATTTCGTTAACTATGGGAAATGGCCTATTTCCTATAGCTGATTACCTTAATATCCTATTGCTCCCTAAGCTTGCACACACTCAGAATGAATTGTCACTCAATATATACTTGCATATACCTCTCATTATTAGGCTTGCCAGATTAAACACATTCAAGAAGCCATATTTGGGTAATATCACAGTTATCAAGGTTTGAGTTCATATTCACCACACCCACCCCTATACCTTGCAGGTGCTATAAATTAACTTCATGCCAAACTACGTAAAAATAACAAAAATAGCCCCAAAAGGGTACTCAGGGGATACACGAGTTTCAGCTAAGTTCCAGTGGGAAGGTAAAGAATTGTATCTTGCTTTTTGGGCCCCACCATCCAACCATTTCACCAGCCAGATCCTGGCAGTATTCGAGAACGTCTTCCAAACTCCCAATTCCTACATCCAACCAGTTGTTGATTAGATGTGTTAATTCCATCTTTTAAATAGCTTTTGCATCATTATTCTCCATTCTAATACCCTAGCTTCAGTCTTCCCCAATTTAGTATTGCAATGTGGAAGTTTTTCCATTTTACAAGTTTGTGAAATACAAAATGGAAACAGCACAGACCATGCATATCAACAAATAGCAACTGTGGTCATTTTAAGATCAAATGGAGCCAGAAGACCCTTGAGAGTTCTAAACTCTGAGAAACTTTTCCGGTTTTATTGCATTCTCACCTGTACAAGCATCTGGACTACACAGCTCATCACATCTCTCTCACCTGCTTATAGCGCTTCTCTTAATTATGTTGGTCTGTAAAGTAAGTTCAAGTTCAAAAAGCGTCTACTGAGTCTAATTCAGAAACAGAAGTTAAGGTGTTCTAATTGTTTAGAGCAGCGGTTCTCAGCCTGTGGGTCGCGACCCCTTTGGGGGTCGAACGACCCTTTCACAGGGGTCGCCTAAGACCATCGGAAAACAAAAAGATATTTACATTACGATTCATAACAGTAGCAAAATTACAGTTATAGAGTAGCAACAAAAATAATTGTATGGTTGGGGGTCACCACAGCATGAGGAGCTGTATTAAGGGGTCGCGGCATGAGGAAGGTTGAGAACCGCTGGTTTAGAGCATATTACCTTGGACCCCACAATCCCATGGAACTTGACCTGTGCCCTTTCCAAACTGAATGTGGTACCAGAGACCTTCTATATTTTTCAAAGAATGGAACTATTTTCCTCCTCAAGAAAGACATCTGTAAAATTAAAATAATTTTTTGATGAGACAGTTTCTTAGCCTTCACTACAAGTATTAACAAGTGAGCCCTGCTGAGGCCTGGAGCAGAGTCTGGAACCTTGGTGTGGTCCTAATTCAGTGCTAATGAAGCACCAACAGCCCCTCCCTTTAGTGCGGAAGGAAGGCACGCAGAGAAAAGATGCAGCCCGGGCTCTTCCCAACGTTCAGTCAGCATGGAAAAGGCATGTAAAAATTATTACCTGAAGTGGTAAGTATAATAATACATAAAAGGAGCTGCAGGAACAGCGGGAAAGGTTGTGCCAGGCAGAGAAGATGAAGAAAAGCAACCCAAGCAGAAGATACGGCCCAGGCGAGGCAAGGGAATGTGACTACGCAGAGTGTGATAAGGATAAAAACGAACTTTAAAATTCAGAAAAGGCAAAAATCCACCATCCTATTGCAGATTGTCACATGAAAACCTTACTGTTACTTGTGTTATGGTCACTTTTCTCTATCAAAGAGGATTTATTTTATTGCCAATTTAATCACTTACTTTTGACATCAAAGAAAAAGAAAGTATTCCTGTCTATTATGACCTCACAAAGAATTTAAATTACTTATATTGCCAGAATGGCAAAGGAAATCCTTCGGAAAAACCACCTTAGAAAAACTCCAGAAATAATTTTGTCAGGATTTTCTTTTCATTTGAATTTCAACAAGCAAATATTCAATCAGTATAGTGGCCCTAAGTACCGACAGCAAGAATTTCTTCAAAGAAGCATAAACACAAATTCTTAAAACATGAAACATGGCTAAGCTCCTATTATTTCCATCTTATCCAGGTAGTGAAAAAGAGAATGCCCTCCCCGCAAAAAAAACCCCAAAACATCAAGGGGGCTGCCAATGAACCATAGTCACGAGCTACCAGATATAAATAAACAGTTACAATTCTTAGATAATCTCCAAAGTCTAATATTACTCAGATCTTTCAAGATTTTACCTCACAAAACTAAAGTGTCGGAAAACTTAACACTTTGAATTTACCCCATAGTTCCTCCTGCATTATTTACTCAAAGTGCCTGTAAACTACAGGCTGCAGAGCACAGCTATCAAAATGGAAGGAAAGCATATAGGAGATCCTCAAGGAGGAAATGCCTCTAAATTGGATTATGAGCTTCAGAGGAATTGAGATTAGCTAGAAGTTCATCCTACAGGTAACCTGAAAAGATTTTTTTTTTTTAACCAAAACACCAGGTTGCTGGCTATTTTGAATCACACTGCCACCACTTTTCCACCTCCCTCCTTGCCCACCCTTCCCCTTCCCCCGAATAGAGCTAAAGAAACTTGTGTGGTTTTACTTACGATTGTGAAGTTCATGACTTTGAGGATCCAGATGGTCATGGCCAAGTTCACCAGTATTAAAATCATCAGGAGCAGGACAAAGAAATACAGGCATCGCTTCCGCCAGCCATAAATCCCCACTTTGTACACCTGTGGCCCCTCGGAGCTGGGCATGGTGCTCCGGTGGTGTGTGTACTGTTCCTGAGGCATCTGAAAGAAACGAGGTGAGAGGGAAGCACTTACATTAGACTGCTGAGCGGAAAAAGAAAGAGGGAAAGAAAGGAAAAAAATCAACCGATGAAGAGATATGGCGGGCTGCGGTCTGTACATTTCCACCATCCTGACAACTCTGACGTTGTTTCCTCTCGACCACAGAGCCTCCTATGGATGCTGGCATTAGCCCTCTCTTTTTATGCAGCCATTTCTCATGAGGTTTACCAAGACATCCACATCCAAACATCATGGGAGGCAAGGGGTTCCAAGCAAGCCATTTTCCAAATGTCTCTTAGAAACAACGTCTTTGTGAGGGAGTCACTCAAAGACCTATCGAAGTCCTGAGGGCAAAATTTAGAATTTGTCTGAGAAAACAAATTAACCTGAGCAGTTCATTGTGGTGGTATAATATTATTTGGGCAGCTTATTTGGGGGGCAACGACCTCAAGTGCAATTATTCTGCATTGCCAGAAAGTCAGTGGCAAAAGTGACCATTTCGATCTTCCCTCTATTCCAGAGTTCAAAGGGCTGCTGCAGAGCACATAGATTAAGCCTCACTTGACCCAAGAATCTTCAACTAGTGATAGCCTGTGCTTACATGCTTCCCTTGACAGATAACTCACTACCCTCAAAGTTAGTCCTTATGGGTCAGACAATTCTAATTGTTATCAATCAACTCATTTATTTAATAGACATAAAGAAGGCTCAAGTAAGGTATGAACATGCCTTCAGGGGGCTTGCAAGCTAATGGGGGGTTGAGCTCGTTTAAACAGTGATTATAGTACAGTGAGATAAGTTAGAAAAATATTTGTCAATATTAAGTAATATGCCAACACCCTTTAAAGTAAGGAAGCCTTCCCAAACCCCTGCTGTTGACATAAGCTATCTTTATACCAGCACTGCTAATTACATACCAACATAAATCAAAGTAACCTTATCGCTTATATAAAAATCTAAAACCAAGACAAATTTTAAAATTAAATACAAACAAAGCTACTGACATGCATCATTAAAAGGGGAAATAACGGACTACTACAAGGATGAGGATTTGCTAAAACTAAACTGCGTAACGTGGCATCAAGGGCTTTAGCCCAGCGTCACCCAAGAACATCATCCCTACTCTGCCATGAGCCATGTGACAACAGGGCCTCTATTGGTTTTCTCCATTCGCAGTAATGCACAATCTTTATTTGGAGTTTTTTTTTGTTTTTGTTTTGTTTTTTACCTCATTTGGCCCTCATGTAAGCACATTTCATTCCTTAAGAATAAAGCCTGCCTCTGTTTATTTCCATCTTACTCAATAGCAATTAAATTAGTGACATGTGGGGCCAAAGTGACCATGGTGATAAACAAAACGTGGGCCCTAAAATTACATCCTTGGTTATTAGGTCATCTCCCAGATGATTCAGAGTGATTATTTTATGGTTTTCAGATAATCATTAAAATGTATGCATACAATATAAAAATGCCCCCCAGAGAACTCATGGCCTTCAGGCATCAGTGGAATTCCGCTTGAAAAACCAAGTGCATCCTTAATTATGGTCAGCTGAAATGCTCAGAAAAGGCCTGCATGACATCTGTCTCATTCTGAACACAACCTTAATATGAGTATATGTTTAAATATATGTGTGTGGAATTAGTGAAAAAAATGCATCAATGATGAATAAATGAATGATTTCCCCTCCACTATGAAATCTGCTGCCATCGAGGGGGGTGTACAAAAGTCCAAGCCAAACACCATGGGGACGTTCTTGTTTGTATTTTTGCAAATTTCCACTTCAGGCTCCCAAAGCACTGAGTTCCCAACCAACCAGTTAGGTTTGTGGTCTAAGAAAATCTCTATTTTACTACTCAGCGCCTTACAATCCTGTAGATCAGGGCGGTGTTGTAACAACATGGGGACACAGCAAAGTCATCGGTCACTGGCCTGGTTACAAAGATCAATTAGAAGGGGGAAAAATGTCTTATAAGTCTGAAGGAAATCAGGCCTTTATTTTCCATTAAATCATATTCTGTAAATTAAGAAAATTATCACAGAATCTTAGAATCCTTTCTGAAATGTCCTAAGACGAGAGAAGGCGACCCACTTGTGCATGGCTAGGAAAAGGACAAGAATGATAGTCTTTGACTCTTGTAGGCAAGATGAACAGTGATTAAGTCTTCACAGATGAGTGTACAAATGAGAGATAAGCGTATTGCCACCACAGCAGCTGCCTTTTCTCTTACATTTGCCCCAACCAATGGGGGGATTACATAGCTATAAAACAGACATGACATGTTCAATAAATATTTATAAGAGGCTGGGGAGATGAATATCACACCTATAATTTTTTTTCATACATAGATTGTTAAAACTTGCCAGAATTCAGGGATTATCTCTACTAGGGGTTCTCAATCCTGACACACATCAGAGACACCTGTGGAACTTTCCAAAACATCTGCATGCATGTCAATTAAACAAGGTACAAGGGTAGGACCCAGGATTCAACATGTTTAAAAGCTCCCCAGATAATCCTAATATGCAGACAAGGTTGCATATCACTAGTCTAGAATATGTCTTTCAATGGAGCAGAATCCAAATAAAACTTAACACATGTAAATTTACACGTAAATTCTGAGCTCTACGATGGAGTTAGTTAAAAGGCTTCCCAGGTCACTTCAAGCATTCGGAACAACTTATCTAAAAAATGGTCTTCATCTTCTTTTCTCATAGTACAACCATTTCAAGACAAAAATCTTGAAACAAACTCTAGCATATAAAATAGCAAGAAAGCAGAGCTCCTCTGCTTAAAGCAAGAGCAAAGGCTTGACAACCTTTGAGAAACCTCTGCAGAGCCCTTGCACTCCTAGAAACCACACAAGGTTACTGGCCAGCTGAGTTGCTCAAAGCTCAGAAGGGGAAGTAGCTCTCTTTCAAGTCACACAGGATTTTAGAATCTGTGGGGGATCAGAACTCAGGTCCTCTGATACCTGGTACATTGGCGTAATTTGTATGTCATGAGGGCTCCCATATCTCCACCATACACTGCCTACTTTGCTGAGCCCAGTGATACAAAATAACTCCAATCTGCACCTCTGTAATTAAAAAAAGACAGACTGATAGATCAATCAATCGATCGATCGATTAATAAGGAACAGGGAAGGGAGTAAGCAATGCTGTATGAATGATTAAATGAGGAAGCCTTGTCAGCGGAACATACTGTAATGGATACATCTATTGTCAATAATTCTGCCAGGAAAGAGAATATTAAGGTATGCTGAGTTCATTAATTTTTCTAGTAAAAAATCGAAACCTGTTGAAATGATAAAAACACGAGGAAAGACAATCTCCACTCTCTGTTCCTTTTTGATTCTTCCCCAAAGACGTTTGCTGTCCAGGGAGTGGAGATGAAGTTTCAGGGCCTCCCTTGTCCAGACCCCTTCCTTAGCCATAAGAGAGGCTGACAATGTCACACATTTTTATAAAATTGACTTAAGAAAGATGTATTAATTGCAATTAGCTAAGACCCTGTCTTTTTCAGCTTGCCTTTATGTTGGGTGGCTTTGGGGGGTTTACATGCATTTTGGAGATCCAACTAACAGGAAGGTAAATTGGGGGTTCATATAGTTTGGGTGCAGTGGTATACAGCTATATGGTTTGCAGACACTTCCCTGGAGACGTACAGTATTGCTCACACTCCTGGTGTACAAATGTCTTTCAGGAGTTCTTCCACCCTTGGTGCCAACTCACCAAGCATGGTGTCACAGAGGTACAGGACCAAAAGACAAATTGCAATGTAAGCATCTCCTATTATAGCCAGCACCAGAAATATGTGGGAAGTAAAAAAGCCAGAAGCTAGTTGGACCTTTTTTTCTAATCATCAAATTTGTAATTGTCAAATTTCAAACGTACGAGTCAATTATCATTGATACCTAGTCAAAATAGAAATTCTCTCCAGTTAAGAATATAGTCAATTCAACCTATATAATTATAAATGTTCCACACATTTTTTTTCTTTTTTATGGGAATCACAGAAAAGAGAATTAATCAGAATGCTTGTGTTTGCAGGTTGTATGTACTGTGTGTCTCTATGCTGTATATAAAGTTACATGCTTTAAGCATTTCCAGTAAAAAAAAATTAAATTCTACTGAAATTGCCATAGGAGACTATTATCTTTCTATTGTCTATACAGGAAGCAACAGTGCCAAACAGCTTTCATTTGAAGAGCCTATGAAAGGATGTGCAATCAAAACCTGTAGAAAAAGTATGTCAGACAGTTAATTACTACTAATATTATTTTTCTGGATTTTAGGATGTGCCATCTTCTAAAATTAATAATTTAATTTTCTTTCGCATTCTAAAAACATATTCATGTTTTTAATGCAGGTTTGTGTTTCTAATTCTTTTGTGTTTTCCCTTAGAACAGCCCCCCATATTATTTAAGCTTCAGGCCTTATGAAACCTAGATCCTTCCCTAGTCCTTCCTGTAAGGGACCCTGAGCACACACCAAAGCACCACCATCAGACATCACTGCTTAGCTGAGCTCAATGGGAGGTACAATTATCTGTCACTGGGAGTGACTTTCAGACTTTTGAACGCATAAGAAACCCTCCAGAAAATTGATCAAATGCAGATTCCTAGGCCTCACATCAAAAGATTCTAATTTAATAAGTCTGGGAGCATCTCAGAAATCTGTATTTCTAACAAGCACCAAAATTGGTTCTGGTACTGAGAGCCCAGGCAACCGCACTTCGAGGACACGGATTTAGACCCACCACAAAAAAGAATCCCTGGCCCACGTTTGCCTCTCCTCATGTTGCGCTGCTTCCCAGCAGGTCACCCATCTTCCTCCCATGTCCCTAAATACACACTTTGCTACCCTTCACATTTTTGCTGCATTCCTACCTTGGAGCTTTCAATTCCATCATCCTCTTTCAGCAATATAGTGAATATTATGTTCTTTGCAGTCTTTGGTGTCTTGGTTTTTCGATGAGCACAGATCTTTTCTGCCATATTAAAAAAAAAAAATCTTGGCTTACCTTGATGATCCTCTCTACCTGTTGCCTCCTTTTACTCTCACTGATGCCCAGGGTTCCCAGATCCTTGGAAAATCCTAGGAATCTCATCCACCTCCTGACATGGCCC